ACAACCCAAATACTGCATAGCTTTCTTCACAGAAGCATGTGTGTGTGTACTGTATATGTGTGCGCACACACACATAGATTTAATAGATTTTCACGGGTACAGGTATGCAGGTCTTGGCATATTCGGGTCTTTTCCTGTGTAAGATTGAGAGTATCTTGGCGACGTTTCGACGAGGTCCCACTCGTCATCTTCAGGCTGGTGCCTTCGGCTTCATGCCTGTGCGAACAAAGGTGATCGGAGCTGCAGTCTTTCTATAAATATTGGTTTGTGTGTGTGTGGAGTGCTGGCTTTGTTGCTGTAAGCGGATTGGTTGGCTGTGTTGTAACATCTTAATTAGCTGATGGAGTTCATGTTTGCAGATTTATTGGCTGTTTCGTAACATCCTGTGTGGCTGAGGTTGGATGTGTACCTATTGTTTTTTGTGTTGTAACGACCTGGGTAATGGGCTGGGTGATGACATCCTGAGCTCTATTGTAGTGATATCCTGAGTCCTGTGCTGCAACCTCCTGGGGAGTTGGCTGCGTTGTAACATCCTGAGCCTTTGCATTGTAACCTCCTGAGTTCTGTGATGTAATATCCTGAGAAGATGGCTGTGGTGTAACATCTCGGGCTTTGGTTTGGCTTCGAGTTTGCGGTCTGGTCATGTGTTCATGGCGTGTGTCAGTTTGCTTTATGTGGGGGTCGAAGGGGGGGTGCAGCAGTTGGTGCTGCCGCCGTGGTTTGGCTTCTGGATGGTGGTTGCATTTGGTCTATGAGAGGGGTTTGGGTTTGAGTCTGGTGAGGGTGATTGATGGTTGCATCCTGGGTCAGTTTTCGTGGCTGAGACTCGTTTGTTGACTAGGGCTTGTTTCCAGATGTCTGGTAGGTGGGAGGTATCATCATGTTTATTCATGCTGTGGGGGTGTTTCCCTATTTCTATGGCTTCCATAATTATTCTCTTGTTGAAGTGTTCAGTTTGGGGGATTAATTTGGTTCTTTCAAAATCAATTTCATGTCCTGTTGCTTTAAGGTGCTGGAAAAGGGAGGAAGTTTTTTCTTCTTTTCTGACTGCGTTCTTGTGTTTTGCGATGTGTGCATTTATTCTCCTATTAGTTTGTCCAATGTATGTATTGAACACAGTCAGAAAAGAAGAAAAAACTTCCTCCCTCTTCCAGCACCTTAAAGCAACAGGACATGAAATTGATTTTGAAAGAACCAAATTAATCCCCCAAACTGAACACTTCAACAAGAGAATAATTATGGAAGCCATAGAAATAGAGAAACACCCCCACAGCATGAATAAACATGACGATACCTCCCACCTACCAGACATCTGGAAACTAGCCCTAGTCAACAATCAAGCCCCACCCACCACCCAGGCCATTTCAATACAAAAGAACAACGGACACGCAGCCAGCACCTCAGCCATACA